GTGTGTGTGTGGCCAGCTCAGCCCACCAGGGGGCGGGCTGGCTGGCATGTGGTGCTGGGGGATTGAACCGTGGTCCCTGTGCTTCGCTGAACTTGTTCTAAGTAGGTGCTTTAGACCACTGAGCCATCTCTCCAGCCCTTGCTATGCAATTTGGACCAGCCTTGAGCTTACTTTTGTAGCCCCCAGGCTGGTCTTGAACTCACAATGATCCTCCTATCTCAACCTCCCAAATGCTGGGATTATAGGCATGCACCACAATGCCCAGTTCCAGGACCAGCATAACACACCTGCCTTGGGAATCTGGGCCCAGCACGACCTGTGGGGCCAGGGATCAAACTCAGGTCCTTGTGCTTGTTTGCCAGGTAGGTTCTTATAAAACTCGTCTGCCAGGAAATTCATATCTTGTATACAGATACTCATTTTTCCCTATCCCATTGGTTGAAATACCATCCCCCAATTGCCATGACACCTATTATGGTTTGGTTCTTAAACACACCTCAAAAGTTCATGTGGTAAAGACGTGGTCCCCCATGTAGCAATTTTCAGGGGCAAGGCCTTTGGAAGGTGACTGGATCATGAGGGCTCTGACCTCATGAATGCGTGGATAAATTCACAGCTCAATGGGCTTGAGGGGAACTTACTATAAAAGCAAGCTTTAGGTCTTTCTGCTTCCCAGATATCCTGAGGTGAGCAGCTGTACTCTAGCACATGCTCCTGGCCATGTGATGCTGTTGCTCAGCACAGGCCTGGAAACAATGGGACCAAGTGACTTGCACAGAAGCCTCTGAAACTATGAGCCAAAATAAATCTTTCCTCCTGTAAGTTGACTTTCACACAGCACCCTTGTAAAAATCAATAACCCTGTATTATATTTCTGGGCTATATTGTTTCATTGATCTACAATAAAGCCACATTTTCCTAATTATAGTATAGCAAATATGGAAATCAGGCAAAAAAGAAGTACTGCAATTTTGTCTTTTTTCAAAAGCAGTTTTTATTAGTTTATGCTCATTGCATTTCCACTTAACTTTTAGAATCACCTAGTCAGAAAAGCCTGCTGGGATTGGGAATGCCAGGAAGTAACATCCTTATAATACTGAATCTTAAGAATACACATAATTGTGTCATTCGTTGCAGCAAAATACCTAAGATAAAAACTTATAGAGGAAAGGCTGATACTTTGGCTTACGATTTCAGAAACTTCAAGCCACGACCAGTTAACTCCACTATCAGTTGGCTCCACTGTCTGCAGCAAAGCAGTACATCATGGTGGGAAACTACTGCAGAGGAAACTGCTCACCTTGCGACAGCTTGGAGGCAGAAATACACTTGATCTTTATCAAAAAGCAGAAAGAGAGAGAGAGAGAGAGAGAGAGACAGACAGACAGACAGACAGACAGACAGACAGACAGACACAGAGAGAGAGACAGAGAGAGACAGAGAGAGAAAGTTGGGTCCTAACATCCTCTTGAAAGGCAGACCTCCAAAGCCCTAACTTACTTCTACTAGATCCCACCCCTAGAAGTTCTACTACTTCCAAACAGTGCTACATAGTGAAGACCAAGTCTTTAATGAACATTTGGAGGACACAGAAAAACTCTAACACAGATATTGAATATATTTCATTGAATTTATCCCTAAGTATTTACCTTTTTGGTATTATTGTAATGGATCATTTCTAACATTAGGAACATAATATGTTCCTAATTATTTGTTGCAGTATTCAGAAATAACTGATTTTGTACAGAACCTTATCCCGCAACCTTCCTAAAATCACTAATTCTAGTAGCTTTAGATTTTCTACATAGACAATCATGCCATTTATGAAAAAAATAATTATTTCTTCTTTCTGTTCAATTTTTATGTGTTTCATTTCATTTTCTTGTCTTACTATACTGGTTAGGACATTCAATAAAACTGGAGGTCTGCCTTTCTGCTTTTTGGCTAAGATCTAAAATAGAGAACAGTCTTCCTTTTTTCCAGTCTTGGGTGAAAGGATTAAGTTTTTCATCATTAATTACATGATCTGTAGTATTATGTAGAGGTCCTTTATCATGTTAGAGAAGTTCCCTTCTATCCCTAACTTAGTAAGAGTTCTTATCATAAGTGTACTTTGAATTGTGCAAACACTTTTCCTGCATTTACTGAGATCATATGTAGTTCTTTTTTTCTAGTCTATGAATACAATGATTTCCCTAATTTTAAACTAGCTCTATACTCCTGATAGATGCTACTTGGTCATAATATATTATCATTTGTATTGTTAAGACTGTAGTAAGTACTTTTTGTTGCTCTTATTGTTAAGACAAAGTCTCAGATGTAGCCCATGCTGGCTTTGCGCTTGCTATATAACCCAGGCTAATACTTCAGTAAAAAATTTTATGTCTATATACATGAGAGATAATTGCCTACAGTTTTCTCACGTCTTTTTCGGATTTGATGTGGGTATAGTACATAATGTACTACAGAATGTGTTGAGAAGTTTTTCTTTCTATTTCTGGAAACAATTTACATAGAATTATTGGTTCATTTTCTTGCCCTGACATTTCTGGTAGAATTCACTAGTAAAAATTAATAGGGCCTAGAATTCTCTGTGCTTTGAGACACAATTTCTATTTCTTTTCTTTTTTTCAATTTCTATTTCTTTAATGCATATACATGAAACAAATCTTTTTGAGTGAACTTTGGTAGTTTATATTCTTCAAAGAGTTTGTCCAATTCATTTAAGTTGTTAAATTTTGTTGTATAAAGCCACATTATTTCTTTATTATCCTTTTAGTATCTCTGTTAAGATCTATGGTGATGTCAGAGCTTATACTGGTATTGCTAATTTGGATTTTTTTTTTTCCCAGTACTGGAGATTGAACTTGGGACCTGCACTTGCCAGGCAGGTGCTTCTGCTGCTGAGCTATCTCCCTGTCCCATGATATTGCCAAGTTGGGCCCTTAATTGTTAGTTATTGGGGGATTTTTAAGAGTTTTATTTTTACTTATTTCTAAATTAATTCCACAATGGTTAGAGTATATAAAATTCTGTGAATTTTTAATTTTGCCATCTACTTGCTGTTTTATGAAGCTTCAATAAAATAAAAAACTCTGCTGCTTCACCATCTTTCCAATAACAACTGTTCTTAAGATTTTCTTATCTTCAAAAGTCTAAATGCATTCCAAATGACCTAACTGGCAGACTAAACTTAACTCATTAATTCAATTAATTAGTTTACTGGATACTTTTATTTCTCTTTAAAATATGTTTCAAGGATCACTTCTCAGAAAGTACTTTCAGGGCTGGCGAGATGGCTCAGTGATCTAAAGCACCTACTTAGAACAAGCTAAGCTAAGCAAAAGCACAGGGACTGCGGTTCAATCCCCCAGCACCACATGCCAGCCAGCCCCGCCCCCTGGTGGGCTGAACTGGATACACACACAGAAAATAAATAAATA